TGGCTGTCCAGCCATGATAAGGGAGGAGGTAAGGAGTCCCATTACCTACCTGCCCATTGCCTCACAGCCCGTGCATCCTGTCCCCAAGAAGCTTGGACTTTTCCTGCATTGTCCAGCAGGATCTGCCCAATGGTATGAACCATGGCGTGGGGTTTCCAAGGCAAGCTCTGCCAGCCCTGTTACACTGTAATATAATTAAACATGCAATTTCTGCCTTTGTAGAGATTTTGTGCCATGGCAGAACTCTTGGTTTCAGACAATCTTGATTGCTTTGTTGTTTTTTTAACCCTAATGATATATTTGTTGTATAAATAAGTCTGAATGTTTGGTACTTGATCATCCTGTTATTTTCTGCCTGTTTTGTACTTATGTTCTTTCGTTTTAGCATTTATTAGGACAGCTTCCCTTTCCACTGAAGTGCTACGGTATTTATAAATTGCCATTTTATTTGCAATATAGCATGTATGAAATGGGCTGTAGATGATGGCTACATGGCTTGAGAATAGAGCTCTTAATTATGATGTGTTTTATAAACAGTTGGCAATAAATGGCCTGATCCTGTGTCCTTTGACTTCAGTGGGAGTTTTCCAACAAGCGTATTTACGCAAGAGCAACCCGTCTGCCAGCACAGCGTCAGCGGGCAGCATGCCTTTGCATTCAGCACAGTTGCATGTCCCCGTGCCAAGAACGAATTTTGCCGATTCAAATTTGCTCAGTTTGTCAACACACAGCTCCCATTGAACTTTGCGGGACAAGAATCATTCTTGGCACGGGGCCGCAGGCGGGCCGGGGAGCACTGCCCACTGCCAGCACCAGCGAGAGGAGCAGTGCCCAGCCTCGGTTTGCAAGGGTCCCGTCTCCTGTAGCACGTGTTTGCTGTTGTTTAACCAGTGGGAAGAGTCAATGATAAAAAGAGATTTCGTAGGTTAGTTTTCAAGGCTTGGGTTTGGATTGGTTTTTTTTTTTCTTTTGTGGCTGTCTGTATGATTAATGTGAATAGGAAAATACTCTTGACCCATTTAAATCATGTTAGACAACATCCATTGCTCATCTGCATAATGAAATACACACTGAACATTACAGCCTAAGTATAAGAGCCAGTGAACTACAAAAATAATATTTCACTCATTTAGATTATGAAGTAAAATATAGGACATCATTAGTACTAATCATAGTATTAAATTTTAAGCCATGCAAATTGTAATTCTCAGTGGAAAAGAACTGTAAGTTGGAAAGGCTATTAACATTTCAGCTTTAACAGTTCATTTGAGTAATTTTTTTTTGCTAGTGTGCATCTTAGAAAAGTCTATATGCAAAGCAGTTAATAGTAAGTGCAGGAGTGTTTGTTTTACATCATTATTTAATTTCAGTCATTAAAGAAATGTTAGAAATATTAATTTGCAGTATCAAAAAGTATTAATTTATATTACAAAGTATAAATTGTAATCTTTACTTGGATAAAATAAAGTTTAAAAGGCAAATTATTAGTAACTAAGAGATTAAATCATTTTTAAGCATTTAAGTAGCAAAGCAAAAACTGAAACCTTTGAAAATATTGATTTTGTCAAATAGAAACATAATTTTCAGCACTTTAAACTAAGTACAAATTTTAAAGTACTGAATTTAGGCTGTCAGGTTTCTATGGTTACCTACCTTTCCAGCAGTTTGGCGAGATGTGTAAATAGGCCTATGAGTCACTTGTAATTATTTGGGTTTGTTTGTTATAGTTGTAATTCTGTGTTCAGTTTGAAACTAATATAGTTCACACCACATTCTTTGGTTTATGTATGTTTTAGTCCATATGATTGACAGTGATTGAGCATTTCTTATGGAGTGCTTGGGTTTTTTTGTCATAAGTGATGTATGTTGGTATTTCTGAAAATGTAAACAACTTCTTCCTGTATCACTGTTTGATAAACAGGGACTTTTGTGATAAGAAAGAGGTCTTTGTAAATGTTAAGCGAGGAGATAAATGAAAGGTATTTAAAAAAAAAAAGTAAACCAGCTCCTAAACATTATACCATACTCTTCCAAATTCAGTCCATACTCCTATCATTATAACTCATTCAGTGACCCAAATGCCACATTTTTATGAATAAGCTTCCAAGTTACACATTAATAGCACATACTAATTGCTGAAAGGTTTAAAAATAGATGTTTTAATCATGATGCTACAAGTTATCTGCAGCCAGCTCTTGATTGGAACATCTTCCTTGTGCACAGCACCTTTGAGGGGAGGGAGGGAAAGCTTGTTTCCACCACCACAGTAGTTTAGTAGACACAGCTGTAAACTCTTACACCTCTCTGCTCATGTATTTTGAAGTCTGGGTTATAGGATGAATTCCCCAAGGTTACACTCTTCACTCTAGCAAAGTAAGTGTTTTCTCAGTAAAGACTCACTGTCTTAGTGTAACTTGTGTTTTCATGTGAAAATGGGACAATACAAGTAATTAACATTTAATACAAGGCAAGAAACACTGTTAGCTGTAATTTTTACCAGATAAATAGTAATATAATCTTATGTTATTATGGTATTCATCACAAAATTGCTAGCAGCATACACTTTATTTTTATTATTCTTATTATTATGAGAAAGCTGGTTTACCATTCAGGAATCATCTTGTATCCTTACAGATTCAGCTGCAGGTATGTTGAAAATAATTATTGCAATGGGTCATACGTTCTGTGTGGGGAAAAGACTCATGACTGCCCATTCTCTTCCTGTGTCTCAAGCTAAGCAGAAAACCCTGATACAATGTTCAGGAGCACTCCTAAATTTTCTGAGCAAAAATTACTCTTATTTCACTAGCTTTGAAAGGGTTTCTGTGGGAAACATTTTTTTGTGGCGATTCAGACATACTTTTTTCCATTTCAGATAGAAATTTAGGAGTTTAAAGGATTTATTTCTAACATTTAATACTGTATCAGGCATGTATATAGGACATAAACATGCCAGTTGGAAAACGGTTGTTTCACAGCACACCTGAAAAGATTTTATCTCAGTAGGATTCAATGAATGTTAGAGCTGTGGGTGGGTGCATATAAACAACAAGACTCAGTATTGTGTGTATGTGTGTAAGAACTACTTGAATAGCTTATTATTTTAATCTGAAACAACTGCTATTTTTAAAACCGAGTAACTTGTTCCAACAGTTCTTACTTCCCTACAACATCAAAATAATTAATACAATAACCAATCTTTCAAGTGAAAGTAATTTCTCCAATCTTTTTAAAAACCTCAAGATAGAAAATGATTGAAAGATGTATTTAAATATGCAAACCTGAGCAGATATGTTTCTCGTTTCAATTTATTCGCTTTATGATAAATTAATTTACTCAATATAGGAATGCAGTAACATAAGAGGAATGTTTCTCCTGCTAGTCATAGAACTTGAAACTTGCCAGATGCCGTGATCTGGAGCCTAAATTCCCCTGATATTAACTGTGCGTGAAACTCTTAATATTGCTTTGTCCAGCTTTTGTACCTGACTTGTTTCATTTTGCTGTGGTACTGCTGTGGGCTACACTTTCTTTTTATTTTCTACTTCTTTTATTCTATCAGAGAGAGAAAATGTAGTAGAAATAACACTAGGATGAAAGGCTCGATTGGAGAACTGCAATGTCCTGTTCCCAAACTTAAGCCTGTACCACCCAGTCCCACTTCTGTAATTGACAATTAATTTCCTTTGGTATATGAAAGAATACAATTCAGATATAGTATTTTTTAAATCCTATAATAAAATGGGAAACTGCTGTTTAATGATACCAGAATTTTACTCAGTTTCTTAGCCTGCCTTGGCATGACTCTGTGTGCGTGTGTGTATATATATACATACACAACTGCTTAACTGGTTGAAGAGGTTTTTAAGGATATAAAATTAATTTCTCCTTTTTCTCTTGTTTGTTAAAGTTGCACTGTTGGTTGCTGCTGATAAAAGGTGGCACTGAGCCAGCTTCCTGAAGGAGCTATGGGGAGGGTCATGGCTTGTCATGACCTGGGCACTGTTACTTGAATGTTGTTATTATTGGGATGAAGTACCCTTAGGCTGTCATCCTTCCTGTAAATAGAAGAGGTTCTGATTCTCTGTGGTTTCCCAGTTTACCAACTTGCAGAACAGCTATTTTGTTGGCCCTAAGTTTGACTGAATAATGAATTAGAAGACCGGCACTATTCCAGAAGGCACTGATTCATCATTTTAGTGTGCTGGTCTAGACTAAGGCATAATAATAATAATTAAAGCCAAACAAGAATGTACTTCCATAGAGTTTATAAATTTGTGCCCAATTAAAAAACTCACTTACATTGGCATACAGCAAATACAAATTGTCTGGTTCTGCTGTCCGTGAAATAAGGTCAAAACTGTAATTAATGGGAGCATAACTGGTCCAGAGGGCCAAACTTAACTTTTTCCATGTCGTGGAAGAACCCTGGTGGTGTTGGCGGAGGGGCTGCTTCTGCTCCCTTAGAATCAGTGGGTGTTTGGCCATTGGTTTGCTTTATTGCCTCTTACGAGGGTAATGAGAACAGCAATTCTGTTAATACCTTAACTAAACAACTTTAGTTGTTAATTTCAATTATTAAGTAAACCAAAGCCAAATTAGAATATAATGTTAGTAAGATACTGGCCCATGTTTCAGTTTGTACAGTCATAAGCATGCTGTGTTGAGGTTTTTACCAATGTGTTGCTGTTGTAACTGAAGTCATATCTATCCTGATGAATATTTCATTTCCCCAATCATGTTATTAAAACCAGAGTGGTTTTACCCTTTCATTTCTGTTTTCTCTTTTCCAGTACCATCATGACAGCTGTGGCTGCGTCCTGTTTACAAATTGCTGCTAGTCCCTTTTTCAGTAGTCCTTGTGGGTTTTGCTTTCCCCTAATATGGGCAATTAGGAGGAAATATTTCTCACGAGCATGGACTTGCTCTTCTCCTTGTAATGACATAGTTCTGCAATCCAGGAAACAGTGCTGCATGGTGTCCATATCCACAATTTCCTGATGTGGGAAAAACGTGTGGAAAGCATCTGGAGAGGAGGAGACCCCCTTTACCAGCTTGTTTCCTGTAAGCAAAATTGGAAGACCTTGTCTGTGCAAATAGATTTCAAAATAGAGTCTGCCCTTTGACTGTCTCCATAATTACACAGCGCTCTCTGTATTTTATTTGGCTGCCAGAGCAGTTAACCCCTGGAAGTAAGGGACTGATGATGGCGTGACCAGCACGGGTATGCAGACATGACCATGTGAATACACTCTTGTTTGGAGAAGCTTGTCGTTAAGACCTCGTTACAATATACTTTTACCAAATTTTAAAATTATTATGTGTCGGGCTATGTTGATTAAGCTGTGCTGTATCTTTAATGTACAGAAAACACAGAGATATTAGCTGCAAAAAAAGGAAAAAGAAAAAGAAAAGGAAAAAAATTCTTTCGTGGCTTTGATGTAATCAACATCTGTCAACAGAATGAATTTGCTTTTGTTTAATTTCAAGGGCTCTTGTCCTACTTTGCCCAATCAGTTTCAACTTCTGCCTCAGGCATTTCCCTATGTTGTTCTTCTTTTTTTCCCCCCCTCCATTTTTTTTTTCTTTTTTTTTTTCTTTTTAGCAAATGCACAGGTTATTGCTTGTGAAATGTGAGCTGCTCTTTTGCTACACAGGTTACACAGAGTTGGAGAGAACCTTTAATCTTTCCCATCCAATTTCTGAAGCTTGGACGTACCATCGCAACATGGGGATTACAAAGTCAGTGTTTTAAAAGACTGTTAGAATTACAAGTAATGATCTTTCAAACCACAACCATTATTTTGGATTGGAACATTTTGTAATTAACAGTAAAAAGCTATATTCTTACCTAGGTGCATTCACATACTATTACCCATAGTGATTTTTAATAACTCGCTTTAAACTTTATTCCTTTGAAGTTTTAGCAAAAATAATATTTGCACAAAAAGTGAAATTATGATATAATATTGAAATGACCTGACAAGGCATATTAAAATCTCTAGTTTTTTACTGTCAAATGCATATATACTAAGAAAATTTCCACAGTCATTCTTTTCAGTAAAAATAAAAAAACACATATTTTGAAAATTGTTATCAGAACAATGCTTTTGATGTTGTTAATTGTTCATATATACTAAGATGTACTTTATCAAGAGCAAGTTGATTTTATTTCTTCAATGAGTTAAATGTTAATTCTTGTAGTCCTAAATAATTTTGGTGCTCTGCTTCTGTTGATACTACGACTAAATAATTTTTTAAAATGTAAATTTTATTTCTTGGCTCTTTGAAGATGTACCCTTATTGTAGCTTAGAACTGTCCTCAAGTTTATCCTTTGCTAACATTTTTGTTAATTGCTTGGGAATTTGAACTCTTTCATAAATAAATACTCAAAAATATGGCTGCTAACAATCACGTTTGATGAATCATGTAGATGAGCAGTATTTTTCATGGCTACCCCACACCTCATTCATTGAAAACACAGCTGATAAATTGCTGCAAATGTTAAACAAGAAGCTTTAGAAAGGGTTTATGTGAGAGTTCATTTCCAACATCTCCCGTTAAAAATACTTCTTGACCAGAGGAAAATCACATTTAAATGACTAAAATCAACTTAATTAAGGGTCATTAATAGAGATACACATAAAAAACTCTCCACTCTGTGAGTGAAATGGGAGCATTTCATTATATAGTGTAGCATGCATGAACAGATAACAATTAAAATAGACCTAGAGTAAAAGGCTAATAAATATAGGGCACATTGTGCTACAAAATCAGTCACTTAAAAATGCTCCCACCCATCATCATACTTGAATTCCGTATTCAGCCCCTTTGGCTGACTCATTTAAAAGAAAAAGAAAATGTCATTTCTACAGAAGACAAATTCATCTGGTAATTCACGAAAGCTCACAGCGCATATTTATATTATTAATACAAATTAAAGTCTGTAAGGAATGCTGAGGAATCCCGCGGCTCCGGCAGGACATGCGTGCATACAGATTGCACAGTGTAATTCACTGTCGAGTCAGAGGAGCAGTTGTCTGTAATTTTCTGTGCTCAGTACATCCTATCTGCTGATGTGATTCAGTAACGCTGGTAATAATTCTTATTGCAGCTGGTAGTGAATACTCTGTTACTCGTGGCAGGTGACATAGTCTTGCTGTTGGGAGAGAGGAGAAATGTGTAAAAGGGCCAACTTTGCATCCTGGCTTTGGTGGTGTGTTACCAGGCTACCCAGCTTCAAACTCCAGGCTCTCTCCAACGGCTGCAGTTTCTGCTGGAAGCTGCATAAATCCTGTGTTTATGAACTATCTTACAGTAATTAATACACAGAAAGCTTAGCAAAAATGATGTGCTTGAGTGCCAGCATTGCAGAAGTAAATAAGTCACTGAGAAAAGCTTTGATAGGTGAAAGGGATGGGGAGGAGGGAACATTTGAGCCAGACTTGGAGAATACAGCCAGTTGTTCCTGTCTCCGATGATTGATGATGTTGCTATATCAAATTAGCTCTGAATATGGGAGCTTAAAAAATAAAAGGAGCTGTGGAGGCATTAGGAAGGCCTTCTTAAGGAAGGAAGTCTGTGGATGGAGTCCAGATTTTCATTATAAAACAATAACTTCATTATATTTTAATGCCACTTTATTTCCTTTTATTTTTACTTTGTAGGAAAATGTTTTCTGCTACAAGTTTTTACATTTCAAATAAAGGTTTAGTTGTCCTGTGTTTATAATTCTTGTGATGTATTTTAGGAGTCATATTATACTACAGTGATATTTATTTTATTGTCGCATTTCACCTGTTCAAGTAGTAGATATTCTTATATGCGTCTGGTTTATAATGAGTAGTTAGAATAACAACAGACTACAGTATCTTATTATCCTGTTATCTTGTGACAACACTTAGAGTGTCTCTTTGGGAGAACAGAGGCAAAAATTTAATTCCAAATAAAAAGGTATGCCTTCCGAATGTGGGACAGCCGATAGGCACACACCCATGAATATAAAGTGGTTCAAGGTACTTAAGAACATGTATTTGGGACATCTGGAGTTTTATTGTTGAACAATTGACAAGCATGCCTGCACCTTTTCTTCCCCAATTAAACTTTTACACAGTAGACAAGGTTCCCAGGCAGCATGCTATGCATCAAGGAGAGCATTCACGTTCCCATATTCGTGTCCACATGGACTTCAGCTGGCCGTATCAGTGAGTGTGGGTTTTCAATATCTTTATAATACCTTCAGCTGTGGTTAAGAGCAAGGTACTTCCACTTCACTCTCTAAAAGAGCTACCTTAGCTTATGCTGGCAGACTGATTGCTACTTCCAAGAGCCCAAAAGTTGCTGCCTCAGCAGATTCTGTGCTTCCAGCTTCCAGCAATGGGTGCAGACCAGCCAGGGAGTTTGTAGGATGCTTTGGGCTCTTTGGATGCACTTATATGTTGTGCAGGTTAGATGGCCCACATTCTTTTCTTTTTTTTTTTTTGTTTTAATTGGACAAAGATTTTTGTTCTTGTGAAGGAGACACTAGGGAAAGCAGTAGTGAGGTTGTGATTAAACCATAATTAAAACACCACCAAACCAATCCAGCCCTCTGTTAACTGGGCAGCTCCGCTTCCACGGAGACACATTCTTCCCTTTTGAAGCAGGCAACTTCCATCGGGGTACTCAGGTTATACTGAGATCTTGATCTGAGCCTCAGTCTCCAGCTCTGCCTTGTTACTTATCATCAATTTTAAAAAAAACAAAGCCAAAAACAAGCCAGTAAAAATTTGCTTGTATTGAGTAAAAGGCTTTCCAGCCTTCCAGATATTGGTAACTAAACGTAGCACGAATCAGGGTGCAAAGAGACTGTCAGGAACACCTCTAAAGCAAACTTCATGCGACTATTTCATTCATTCTGTGTTTTGGGGCTCCAAAAAAGGTGTGTAATTTGAATCTCCTGTATAACATGGGATGCTGTAAAGTGCGTGCGGAAGGGTAAGTCCTGCATCTGGACATGATAAATGCATCCAAAAGGAAGGAAGGTACAACAAAATAAAAACATACAAGATATGGAAGAAACTCTTCCTTTAAAAAAAGAAAAAATAATTCTTACATAGTTACAAAATATGCAGTAGATTAATTTCTTAATTTCTTCATCATAAAAATGTTTAGTTACTTCTGTTTAAATGAAAACATGTGTTAACGAAGAGTATTCGTATGGGTTATTTCCCATAAAAGATTGCTCTTGTGTTTGTATATATGGATGACATTTTTCAGAAGCAGATTAACTATTATCTGAAACTTTTATTTCAAAAACTTCCTCTGTTTAGCTTGTAGAATGTTTGAGTAAAGGAAATATGCACTACCTGTAATTGTAGTTTACTTGGCAGTGTCAATAATCCTTCTGAGTTTAGCATATTTCCGAGTTTTGATACCAGCATCACCTTTTGTGATGGATTGTTTTGGATTTGATGTCTCTGACAACCTTTGGGCCTCAATGCACTTTTTTCCCCCTTTTTCTTTTTTCTTCTTTTTCTTTTGAGAGGGGCAAAATGTTTTATTGCCCAAGAACTAAGTTTGAGCAATGAATACTCCGATAAGTATATATCATATATATATGATCCCAAATTCTGATGTGAATTACATGGAAATCTCATTCATACATTCCAAGTGACTTACAGATTTTAATTCATTCAATTGCCTTTGGCCAAAATTGAAAATAACTTTTGAAGTTTCTTCTGTTGCCTTCCTATAGTCAGGACAAATTAAACCCCATTCCTTGTGTCTTGGCACAAATTACAGGAGCAACATTAACTTGGTTATGCTCAAATCCATGACCAATTCTGCAAAAAAACTGCCTGAAATCAACATTAAATCTTTTTTTTTTCGTCTCCTCTTTTCTTGCTATTGTCCTTTATTTACCATTTCACCAGGACTTGAACAGTGCAGCTTCTAGCCATGCAGGGGCTAGCTGGAGCATCACTCCTGGCTGTAAGCTTTGGGGAATTTACCCACACTACTTTTTGATGCATTGAGCCAAAACAGAACTGGCATTTTATAAAGCTTCAAAGTATTGTTTGGGGAGGTTTTTTGTTCTCATTGCTTCTCGGTGTTAATGCTCTTTGTTTAACAGTACAAGAGTTGAACTATTTGAATTACCCTTGGCTACTGCATGAGTTCTGTGGTTTGTTTTACATGATGCCCTTCTTTTTGCCCTTTCCAGTTTGTAACATGGTAGTAGAAGAAATGTTAACCATTTTTAACTTATCTATTAACAGGTTCTGTGACTGGCTGCCACGTGTTCTTTTCCTTGAGCAATCGTATCCACCTGCACAGACAGTCAAGCAATCAACAGCAAAGATGCTTCTCTTTTCAGGGACAAAGAAATACTGCTTATAGTATAGTTTGGCCAGCCACGGTTTCTCCAGCTCACCCAGTTCCTAAGGTACTGCAGTTTCTATTATCTAATGTGTTCTTCAGTCAATGTAGAGTTCAGCTGCAGGCATCATCAAGTGTATTCATTGTCCAGCAGCTGGGGGGTTGTATCACTCTCCTGTTGCTTGATCTGGTATTTGAAATAGGAGCATTGGTGAGAGAAGTTTTCAGCTGCCTACCATGTTAAACACAGTTATTAGGGAGTTTAAATCTGGGGCTTGTTCACTTAGAGTAGTGTAAATGTGGAATATCTTAATAATCTGTCAACACTTTACACTTCTGGGTCCAGATTCTCGTTTTGGACATTCGTAGATGGTCCTACCAAGAGTCCGTAAGACTCATTAATGATCATCTGAGTCCTTTTCTGTATAAACCTCTAGCAAACTAATTATAAAAACATTTATATTTTGCTGAAGGTTTTGTTAATTGGTTATGTCAGATTTAGGAAGAGAACATACAATACCTGCTGGTAGCTGCCATGCAACCCCACTGCATGTTCTAAACTTGTCTTCATTGTGACTGAGTGTTTTTTTTTTACTCACAACATATACTTTTATGTACTTTAGAGCTAAAAGGAACTTTTTTTCATGCAATTTTAACATGTATCCAACTTCTGGTTTTCTTCTTTTCCTCTTTTTTCCTCTTTTCCCCCATTTAATTACAGCATACAGATTAACTGTTTAGTATCCTTCCTACAGGCCAAAGAAAACCAAAGTACCTTTTCTAAACAGTGCTTCAGGATGTGTATTAGTACTTTTTTGAAATTTTACTTTTCATCTTATTATAGATTTCTTATTCAAAATATAGAGTATTTCCATGGGCCAGAAAAGTTGTTAGATAGGAAAGCAGATAACGATGTAGGGGTCTTACACCTAAGGGGCTGTGAAGCTCTGTGCAGGGGGAGAGCATAGGGTTACACGCTTTAGATATTTTGAAAAGTTTAAAAATTGTAGAACTTAGACACTTTTTTTTCTGTATTTAGATGCTTCTTTTAGGATAAAGAGGGAGAAATATATTGTCATACTGAAAAGTTGTCTTCACAGATCAGAGTTCTCAGATCGTCTAAAGATCAGTCCAATTCTTCAACTCCAAAAACTTGAGGGCAAAGTTGCTGCTTTATACAGAGTATGCCAGGAATCACACTGAAATAGCATGGGTTTTTTTCAAGATGTTAGTGTGAAACTGTATACACAGACATTTGTATGTGTGCTGCTTTGGGCTTCTACCTTAGCAGATCTTATAGGTCAGCAGGGTCAGGTCTCAACAGTTTCTAGATATGTGCCCTCCAAGGGGAAAGCAAGGGTGCTGCTGTTTAAGGAGTTGCTAGTCCAGGAAATTGAGGGGTTTTTTTTCTAAATTAAGTCCCAAACCACTGCAGTAGAATGTTGTTAGGGTTGATACGCCATTAATTTGAACAGAATGGAAATCTGAAATTCTGTTGATATAAATCCATTAAAGATAGTTGTGCTTTTTATCAGAGTAGAAATTAAATACCTGTAGGAGTAACAATAGTCCTCCTATTTAAAGCCCCTCTAGACCTAATTAGCTGCCCCACTCTTCTTTACTCCCACACCCTGCTGGTTTATGGTCTTCTTGTGTACAGCCCACATGCCCACTTTGGTTTCTGCCTGCCAGCTTGATTCTGTATTCTGTGAACTCAGTGCAAAACTCACCCTGTGGCTGTCGTGGCAGAGAATCAGCCTGGCTGTGGTAGGCAAAGGGACTCTTCCCCAGCCAGTGAAACAGCCCAGGACCCTCCCAGAGAAAGTGTATTTCCACCTTTGTGGAAGATGTCACCATTATTATTAGTTTGTTGTGTTTATACATGTGCCATGAAACTTGTGGATTAAAAAAAATCAAAAATGAATTTTCAGAACTTTATGTGGGAAAAAAAATGAAGTTTATTACACTTTCCGAGACACAGCAGAATGTTGTAGATGGACAGATTTGGGCACAGCATATAATCTAGATTAAGAAGTAAAACCCTCCAAATTAAAGTAAGTTAAATCCTAAAGTCAAAAAGCAATCTTGTGAAAGTTAATAAGAGTCTTGTGTGAGTGAGAAACTAAGGATTTGATCAGTTTTATTTTTGAGCCTACTTCTGTATGTTTGTCCCATTGGTTCCAGTGTTTAGATGCCTTTTGTAGAAAATGTGCCTCTTTCTTTGCGGAAGAAAATTAAGAGTTTTAAAGTCTTTCTCACAGTTTCAAAACTTGCAATGTCTGTGCTGGAAGTCAGCTGCAGTATCTGGGGTTTCAGCACTGGAAGGCTAACAGACTGTACAAGTCAGTAGTAACAGGCAATGTTAAGTTCAAAAGGGCAGTGCAAGAAATACTGAGGCAGCCTTGAGGGTTTGCCCTGATGGCTTAGGAAGGTCGATACTACGACAGAAAGGGCAAGCTGCCATGAAGCAGGAGGCAGTATCTGAGAAAATGATCCCATTGTCATGCTCAGTTTTCTGATCTTCATTTTCAATCCTTTTTCTCCAAGCACATAAAGAAGCCAGACTATGTGACGACAGGCATTGTACCAGACTGGGGAGACGACATAGAAATTAAGAATGAAGATCAGATTCAAGGGCTTCGTCAAGCTTGTCAATTGGCCCGTCATGTCCTGCTTCTGGCTGGAAAGGGCTTAAAGGTAACAATTACGGAAGTCCCCTAACAGCTTGAATGTATTTTATGCTTTCGCTTATTTGGGGGTTTTTTCTACTTTTTTTTTTTTTTAACTTTCCCTTAGTGTGCATCCAGTTTTTAAGTTAGATTCTGAAAAAAAGTAAGGATTTATTAACTTTTGATGTAGTCCATAATATGCCTCTTTAATTATTTCTGTATTTTGGACCTACGTAGTACTTAGAATGAGTTGCTGGCTCAGGTGTAATATCTCTGTGTCTGTAATCTCCCTCCATTAGGATTGTGCCAAATCATGTGAGTTTCTCATAAGGCCCATGCTACATTTTTTTCTTTCATTTCATGGCCCATCTTCTTCATGAATCATTTGTTCCAGCTCTTCATTTGTGCAAGTTTGAAGGGCTGGGCTGCCTCCTCTGTTCCCATCCGTCCTTTGGCCCTTGACTGTCCTGTGGAGTCCAGTGCAACTCCTAGAGCTGCCATTGTAAAAGACAGCTGCCAAATTCTACACAATTTTCTGGAGTGCATTGATAACAAAGCCTCACAGTTTCCAGAAATGCTTCTACAGTATGCTTTTTGGGATACCTCCCAAGTTAAAATGTACTGGGAGGAGTCTATTAGCGGGTTTTGCAGATGAAGGAGTGCTTTTTTCGCCTTGGCTTGTTATTTCATGTAATAGCATACTGGATAGGGTAAAATGGGTTGAGTAGCTATGAGATGCAGAGATAGATGGGGACGGCAGGTTAATGCCGTTGACTTAAAAGGGGAAAAATATCAGTTTACCATGCATTTTTTCTTTCGGCTATCATCACACTTTCCAAGAAGTTTAATTCTGGATCTGGGCTGGCCAATAACAAAACTGCCTACAGCTTTAATCTTACATAGGCACATGCTTGCTTAACTTCTGTATGAGCAATTATTTCCTAGTGCAGTAAACTTACTCATGTAAAGTTAAGGACATATGTATGTTTCTGAAGGATCAGGGTGCATATGTATGCAGCACAGTATAGCTTGTGATGCAGTTCATAGTATGTGCCAAATCATACATCATAGCAAAATACTGCATACATGTAATAAACATTTTGGAGCAAGAAGGTGTATATGACGTAAGAATTACATGATCAGCTGCTGTGGACTGGGAGGGAGGTGGCATTAGGAGTTGTGGTGCCAAGACCACTGCCCAGGTCAGCTGCAGACAGGTGGTGAGCACTGTTCTACACCAGTAAGTGTTTGGCCAAGACCCTCCCTCATTGACAGCAAGCATCTTCTACTTCCCAGCCTGATGTTGCACGTGGCCAGTTTATATTCTTTTGTTCTTGTGCCAACTCCACTCTTTAACTTAAACAGCTTCCTGCCTTTCCTTGAGTCTGTCCCCTTCACATAGTAATAGAGCTATTACAGCTTTCAGGGCACCCAACTAAAGAAACCAAGCTGTTTTAGGCTATTCTCATAAGGTAAACTCTGCATTCCTATTTTATTTGAAGAGCCCTGTCCCTCCACTTGTTCCTGTTGTCTTGCTGAACCTTGAATGCAGCCCTCCAAACCAGCTGTAGTTGTGGCAGTAACATTCCTTAATATAACAAAAGTGTATTATAATGCATGGATGCAGCGAGACAAAGTTCAGGCTGTGTGTTGTTTTAATATACCATTTACTGCCTGTGGGACTTAAAAATACAATGTGATATTACGTATGACAGTATTTCCTACGTTTGTGTTAAAGATTTGGAAATAAAGCAGCAAATTCTATGACATAGAAGTATTTTGTTAGATACCATCAGATTGCCCAGTCCCAAATAAGGGATGAGGCATGCAGTAGGTGCCTCCTCAGCCTTGCCCAGCTAGCAAAAGGTTCTTTAAAAGCAAACCAGATACTGTTGAAAGCAGAACTTTTCACAGTATGTAAGCCTGCCATGCAGAGAGCACAGATCTGTCTGCTCAGTGTCCAAAAGCCACGTCAAATTCCTTGAGCAGAGCAGCAGCAGACAGCACCCAGTCTGGTACATAGCGGTTCATTTTGTCTGTGCGCTGAAAATGATAGATGGGTGAGTGAAGGCAGGAGCAACAAACCTGTATTTATCCAGAACCGATGGCTGCAGTATCCAATACAGACAGTGTGCTGGGGCTGCGGCTGCCATCCCAGTGCAGAGGCTGCAATGGCTACTGCAAAGCAGGGGGTTTGCACAGTAACCCCAAATCCTGGTCTTGAGTGTGATCATTGCTCCTTATCTGCCCAGCCATGTTTTTGTGCTGAACAAGATGCAAGCTGAGCAAAATAGACCTGGTTTTATCCTCAGCACAGCACACAAGCACACTCCACTGTATTCATTGTGCATGATCACTGAATATTTCAATATATGGATAAGTATGCCTCCTGCGCCACAGCCTACCTATATTCCTTGTGTTACTAAAAAGGCCTCCAAAATCACAGCCACTGTGATTTTTCCTTTCCTCTGCCAAGACTGATCTTCGTATGTGTACGAAGTATGATTTTCAAAGGCTCAAAACTCATTCAAATCAAAATCAATTTGCAGAGGAACCCTCAAAAGCACTTCTTCTCAGTGAGGGAGGTTTCCCTACCAAATTTCAAATTTCAGCTCTAACCATTCCAGAGACAGAGTTGATCCAAAAGAAAAGCGAGAAGGATGTTATTTTAAGCGTTTGCATTTTCCACTGCATGGATACTCAGAAAATGGCTGAATGATTTATGAGAGGTTTTTTTTTTTTTAAATATGTAAAATTATGAGAAAAAGATGAATCTAGAAAACGTCAAGCATAAAAATGAATATTTCTAAAAATAATTGATAAGCACTTGTAGATTCACTGTGATCATCCAGGCTATGGTGACTTTAAGTAAAATGTCCTCAAGATATGAAGCCAAATATTTAAATCTTTTATAAAATTACAGCATACTTGGAAAACAATTTCATAAAATGCACAAATGCATTATGATGAATGTCCTGGGCAGTTATATGAGTTAAGATCCTTTCTTTTACAAATAAAAGGGAAAGTAATGTTGTGCTTTAAATGACTGAAAGCATTGAAAACAGATATTTCAGCAGCTACTGAAACAAGGTGCCACGGAAAATTGGTGTCTTTGAGAAATCAAATGTGGAAAAAAGAATGGAAAGGAAGTAGGCAGTATTTTAGGTTTTCTAGGAACCTTTGAGTATTTTATTCTATTGTATACTTTGTTTAAAACCTTTTTCTCTTAAAAAAAAAAGGGTTCAACATATCAATAAAGTATATCAGACGGTTTAGTGTTTTGTATCAAAGCAGTGTATTTGGAACATCCAAGATTTCATTGAAACACTTGGCTGCAATCACATCCAGTAAATACGAGAAACTATCTTTGCTTTTTTAACAGGATGTTATGTTTGATATTTTAGGTTGGCATGACAACTGAAGAAATAGATTCCATTGTTCATCATGAAATAATCAGACAGAATGCCTATCCATCACCTCTGGGCTATGGAGGGTTTCCAAAATCTGTTTGTACTTCTGTAAACAACGTGGTATGTCATGGTATTCCTGACAGGTATTTCCCCAATAATATACATTCTACCACCAGGAATGAAAATGTTAAACTGAAATTAATAAATTATGTTTAACATTGAACATACTTCAGCTTAACTAAACGTCATGTATAAATGTATTGCAGATGCATATCATGTTACCACATGATGCTGATAGATGTTACAGAAATGTATGTGAAATAGAAAAAAAACATCCTGTTTGTCGAGAAACTTAAAAAGAAGTATAATGCCTTTAGAATTTTGTGTGTGGAAAAAAACCAAGAGCTGTCCAATTTATTTTTTTCTCCTCCAGCAAAATAAGTATAGGGGAAGGAATAAATATATTTGAATTTATGTGTTGTTGTTAGGGGGTTTTTATTATTATTTGCAATACATTCAGCTACTCAGAAAGTAAAATATGAACCCTAGTGAGAGAAAAAGAATAAATATAATGGCAGATTTTTGAGGTGTTGATATGTTTTTCTGGTAGTCATTTCTCATTATTTTATATTCAGCTGTGTTTGTTCTCTAAGTAGTGAGAGCTGAACATTAAAAATGGTTATTCTGTTTGCCTCGGCCTTCCTCCATCACAAAATATCTACCCCCTGATTTTTTATGCATGTGTCATTAGGTGTTTATTCTTATATTCCCTTTGTTGGGAACTGTCTGTCACCATATTTTTTTTTTTTCTGTTTATGTTTCAGTCGACCTCTTCAGGATGGAGATATTATCAACATTGATGTCACGGTGAGTAATTCATATAAAAAAATAGTCTTTGATCAACTTTAGAATCACTAGTAGCAACGGGAAGAATAGTGGATTGGAAATGGGGGATGCACAGATGGATGTGCTGTTTACTTCTGAGCCAAGGCACAAGCAGCTGGTTTCCTTTTTTGTTTTTAACTGTGTGTTTATTCCAGCTAGACCCAGGCCTGACTTGAATTTAGGACTGGAATCAGATGCACTGAGATCAATGTTGGCCTAAGTGAAATGTCAACCCAATCCTGCTATGTGTCATGTTTTTGAGAAGGTGTAATTGTTATTGATCCACTGTGTAGTTAATGCAGAGCACCACAGTACTGGGCAGCAGCTGAAGATAGATATGTATGAGATGAGCTAACATGAAGAAAGCCAGCATTTTTCCTTCACTCTGCCAAGATTGATCTTCCTCTTCCTGCTTATTTTGAGTGGGGCCTGACATTATCTTACTCTGTCATTAGAGGCTACATTGGCCTGTGTATGTCAGTCTATTTGGACAGCAACTCTTTTGCTAGCAGTGTTCCCTACATTTATTAAAATCCCTGAAGGTAGTGTTGTGTTCCATTTCTGGTATAAAAGCCCTGAACCTTTTGCAGAGAAACAGAAATAGTGTGATATAACTATGACTTAATATTTCCAGAGAATGGTCAATTATAGCTATTTAAATAAACACTGGCTGGATTTTCTTAGGAGCAAGAAAGTATGGAAACTGGAAACCTAATTCTCATCTCATTTATGAAAAGAAAAAAAAAAAAAAGTCATCTCTTCCAGAAGCTTTTTTCTTTTTACTGTGCATGTTTTTATTTTCCCAAAGTGCAATTTGTTTCTGACATGAACACAGACGTCTTTTGAATCCCACTGTTGCTTTGCAATTACATGTCGCATACAAGGGGGTAACATCTCATAAAAATGGGCATTTTTAATTATTGAAGGAGCTCTTGGTAACTTGGTACTATTTTCCATGGGCCCAAATTTCATACTGGCAGAAGTGGAAGAAATCTGCAGCAGACCTACCTCTGAGCATGAGATTCAAGCTTTCTAAAATATTTTTTCTATTAAAAATAGGGTCAGCGACCTCTTTCCCATGGTATGTGCACATGTGATCTAGAACTGGGTTTGCTTTGGTTTGGTTTTTTAATCTTTCTAAATTCTTTCCCGTCTCCATACTTTCTAATTATGGAATTCTGACTATATCAGCTTAGTGTTATCTATCATTTTGAAAGTATATTTTTGGCCTACATTTTTACTTTGGTGAACTGGTGTACCTTGGCTCATTTTATTAGTCTAAATCAGTTTGCAACAGCTCAGGATTTAACAGCTGAGTTTAGGATAATAGTGATGCCTTACATATATACTAAAAAAAAAAAAAAAAAGTATAGATTCGTATCACAGATACTTTCCGTGATAAACTAAATGAAATATATTTTTATTAATGCATATCCTGCCCACTCTGCTTTACAAATAATGTCTGACTAAATGTTTGATCTTTTTGAAGACTTATTTTTATTTGTTTTCTGTTTACCCTCGTAAAATAAAATAAATCTTGAAGTTTCTGTGAATGTGAAGATTCCTGCAAGAATGAGAATTGCTGATTATCTTTGTAAGATCTTTTTACCATTTAAAACTGAACTGTGCTGTGTTTGATAATTGCTTAGTTCCAAAATAGCTGAAGAAAAAAAGATTGCCTTTCAGCGTTGCTAACTGATCTTTTAGCTTATTTTTAATGAGCAAAACTGTGACATTTGGCAGGAGGACAGAATAAAAATCAAAGTAAATATTGCACAACAAATTGTTTATAATTGTGTACAGGCTCCATAAAATGATTAAATAATGTTCTGGTTATTGAGTGTAAAGATGTCACGCTATGTACAAATTATTTGAAGAAAAAAAATCTATTTTTGCACAATTAAGGTGGTAGAATTTCATAGATAAAATACAAATTTTATTGGCCTGAATCATGTAGCCTTTAAAATGTATTTTAGTGTAGAAACAATAGCATTATCCATCACTGAATCCTCAGCATAGTGCAGTTTCAGCCTGCCATTACCAGGTTAATGTTTATTACAACTTGGTTCTTTCATTGACTGCTAAGGAATTAGCGTGTTACAGTTGCTGTGGTTGTAGCTTATTAACGTCAGAAGTCTGTAATTGCAGTTGATGGGCTGCTGTAAATATTATTATTAATTTTAAGCTCTCCTGTTTTAAATCTGTATTTTCTTTTTCAGGAGGGTGATGATGTTTAATGTTAGGGTTTTGTGTGTTGTACTTGCTAGCACTAAAAATGAACTAGTTTAGTTTAAATATGAACTAGCTGGATTAAAACCTTGCCCAATGGGCATTAAATTAATAATAGGGGAAAAAAAAAAAGAAAAAGGAAAGATTTATTGGCAGTCTGGAATGGCAGAGGAAGGTGTAGAGCAGGGGGTCACAGCCGCTCTCCACCAGAGTGGTGCAACACAGCTGGGCCCTTGCTGACACTCACCTTTTAAACACCTCTCGCTCCTAACTGCCTGCATTTTGTTCACATCTCACACTGAACACAAACCTGGCCTTGGGATAAACTGTCTGAAGCCAATTTTTTATTTTTCTATTTTTTCTAGTTTGTAATTGGCCAAAAAGAATGTGAGTCTGTCTTTCACAAATAGCTCACCAGTGGCAAAAGTTCAGTGCTTTGAGCTTGGTGAGTTATTAGTCCTAGAAGGATAGTTGCCCACTGTTCAGGGGGAGAAAAAATGTTTTAGAAGATCAAAACTGTGCACCTTTATAATTTGTCTTTCCTTAGGGTAATTTGGCTTGGTCTTACAATTATGTGCCTCCCTGCCATACCTCAGAGCTGTAAACCCCATGTTAATGTCGCGTTGCAGAGCTCCATAGCGCATAGCCAGGGTTTCCTGTGCCCAGCAGAGAACTTCTGGAGAGCTGATGTTTAAAACCTACGAAATGTCCAAAAAAAAAAAGAAAAAAATATATTCAACAGGGTGCCATGTTTTCAGCACATGAAACTTTGTGGTGTCAGAATGGTAGGTTTATTCTCTTTCAAAATTTAACTCTGGAAATCAGAAGTAAAATCGGACATTAATGCCCTGCTGTAGTTTAAAAATGAGACTAAAGCAAATATGCAGCAGCTGGCTGTAGGTTTGGCCCGTACTTTCCATGGGGCTCCCTATGGATGTTGGTAGCAAGGTACCCCTCTCGCCCAGCTGTGCACAGCATCACTCAGAACCTCAGCAGGGGATGCTGGCTGCGGAGCTGCGGGTCTCCCCGCCAGCCTCCTGGGTCTTCCAGTGCCCACAGCCAACACCAGGACTCAACAGCCAACCCCGTGGGGTGCAAGCATGTCCCTAGCCCCAGGAGCAGGTGTCCTGGGTGGGTGGGTTCCCAGTGGGCCCCAAGAGCCCCCTGAGCCCATGCACAGCCTCCATCCATCTCCTCGCATATAGCCCAGATAGCCTCATGTCCTGTAGCTGAGCAATGTCATTGTCTGGTGCGTGCTGCTGGGCAGTGATGCACAACTTCTGCTTTTCTCCAATTTTTAATTGGCAATCCTTGCACACCTTGCAATCTTCTGTGTCTTTTGTTTGGTTGGGGTTTTTTTCTCCTCTGCAATGTTTTGCTTTTCTGGTCTCATTCTTGCAAATAAGCCTACCCGTGGTCTATCTGGTACAATACATGGCTCATTCCTAGAAAGAATGGATTTAATTAAGGAGACAATCTGTTTGTGGATGCAAAATGAGAAAATGTCTTTACATTTCTGTATGTTTAGGTGTATTACAATGGCTACCATGGTGACACTTCTGAAACCTTTTTGGTGGGCAATGTGGATAAATCTGGCGAAAAGTTAGTGGAGGTTGCCAGGAAATGTAGAGATGAAGCAATTGCAGCTTGCAGACCAGGGGCTCCCTTCTCTGTAATTGGAAACACAATCAGGTAAGCCTTATATTGACAAGTAAAAGGAGGGCTGGCAAGTGGGACAAAGGTTATTGGTGGTTTGGTATAAAGCTGATGACATGTTTTATGATTCAAAACCATCATTTCAGTCTGATATCAGTATGTGAACTGCCAAGCTATAATGTTGGTCCTTGGGTAAGAGACTTTTTTTTTTTAAGTGAATTACACTAGGGTCAGCAAAGATAACTGTAGAAAGAATCAGAGATGTTCTTAAGATAGATTTAAATTAACAGATGTAATTTGCGGTGGGGTTTTGTTTATTTTTTATTTGTGTGTGAAACTACACCACATCTGTCTTACGATGTGAGGAGGTTAGAAACCATTGTTTTCGTTGTATAGCAATAACGAATGTTACAAAGGAATTAGTCAACATAAATAAGTCTCTTTGTTTAAAAAGTACAAAAATATTTAACTCAAGAGCTTTTGATCTTACAAAGCGCAGGGGAAAAAAGAGCTCACATTCAGAGATTTTTCCCTATTTTGCATCTTTTCTAGCCTTCCCATAAATGCAGTCATGACTCTTCTTCTGCTGGCAGTTTTGAATAAAAATACAGCTTAGTTTTTTGAAGGTAACTATGAATTATTTTAAAATGTTTGCCAAAAAAAAATATAGACATATATCGTATACATTTCATTAAGCAATACTTCTCTGGACTATTAATGGTCTCAACATGCTATTGAATACGTTCTGATTACTTAAAAGCTGCAAGGCTTAGTCACCTTGAAAGGATGCTGCTTTTTTTTTCTTTGTAAATCTCCAAATACTTTAAGGAAAAAAGAGAACGGCAAAATATCAGTTAGATGTATTTATAGCTTTAAAAATATTGTAACAGAGTCTGAATCAAACTTTAGTAAAACCTCTTTGGGTTATATCTGAGAAGCTTTTATTGAAGACTTTGTATAAAATTGTGTTTTTGACAGTTTTAAATTATAGGCTAACTAGCCTGGAGAAAAAGGATAGTGTCTTTCTGTTCTTTCATAGGAAATGTTGAATCAGACCCCTACTGGGAAAAGAAATTTAATGCATATCTCACTATCTTACTGTCCATGAATATAATAGAAGTGAATTCAAAATGTAGTTTTATTTTTGCAAATGGGATGAGTCGATAGATGCACCTCATATTTTTGAACACCTAGGGTTCAACAAATTTACTGGTGGTGCTCTTGCATTTTAACAAAATTTATTCTTGAGTAGAAGGGGGCACAGAACACTGGATTCTTATTCAAGCATTCTATCGAGCTCTGCATTCATGGCTGTGTCTAAAGGGCATGTCAGCCTTTGATTCTCTCTGAGAGGTAATTATCCTTTTCCTGTCACGGAACAACAAATGATAGCTAACTACAGAGGCACATTTGCAGTAGTCACATTCATCAACTGCAGAAAAAAAATTCAATTTAATTGTGCAACACAGCTGCACATAGGCTTTTTGAGCATTTCTGTTGTTCTCCCTGTCTTGCTATTCCTCCCTCCAGATCTATTTTTTAAACTTTTTTTCTGGTTATTTTTTTCCCCTTTTTTGTCTCTTCTTCCATTTTTACTCTCTGTACTTTCTTGTTAAAGTAATTTTCCTTTGTGGCTCTCATTCTTTTTTCCCCATTGAAGGCTATGAATGTAGAAAATTATCACAATTACTCATATAATTGAGCCTCTTTGTAGCAAGTGCAACTCCAGTAGCCTTTCTCCATCATGAAAATGGTTTCATTATAGGGTTTTTCATATTCTCTGACACCATCTACACAGAGGAACAGGCGTGCAGATGAGATGTACTAGGAACAGGGTAGATCAGTAAGGTCACAGTAGGAATAATTAGCTCTGCTATGGAAAGAGCATCTAGGCCTTTTACTGCTACATAAATGTACTGTCCGTGGCTTTTAGTCACAAAAAAACTTACTAACAAATGGAGCTCCCGCCTACTACTTTGAAAAAAAGATTTGTATCAACACTACAATTTTCCATCATTAAGACTAATAACACAGAGCCTAGTATACATCAAGGGGAATAAAAAGAAAAATCTCACATTCAAGTGGCGGCTGGGTGCTGACCTTTGTTCCCTTTTTTTGTGTTCAACTTAACTCTTTACAAAAAAGAGCCACACGCCACACCAACATGCAGGTGAACTCCAGCTAGTGCTAGCAAAGCATGGCATTCAATTGGAAAATCTGATAAATCTCCATGCAGGATAATGCATTTCATTACAGATTCACTACATTAATTCTAGCTGTATTAAAAAAAAAAAAAAAGAAAAGAAAAGAAAAGAAAAGGAGGACAAAATAAAAAGAACAGAATTGAATGTGACATTGGATTTTTGCTGTGTTGGTGCAGAGGTCAGTTTACATGCAAAGTGTAAATATATATAGTCAGCGCCCCCTTTGAAAAGCAGATTAATCAAAGCCTAGTAGCTGTTCAAAACTATATATGAAATAGCAGGTCATTAACTTTATTTCTCAAGATTTTATCGTGTTGGCAATTTAAATGTGCTGATTTGTTTAGAACTACTGTAACACTGCCTCTGCTGAAAGATTGCCTTGGTTTGGTGAAGCTGTGTGTTTCTGGTTATTTGTCATTCAACATTTGCATGCAGACAGACATATATAATACATACATGCATACAAATCTGAAGCTTCGAAAGAGTTAGATACCATAAATACCTTAGAACAGGCACCCACCTACAAGCTGAAAACATTTAGGCCCATCACAATGCAAATGTGTCTTGGTTTCTTTCATCAGTATTTCTATAAAGGTGCTCAAGTGATACGCAGAACATATCTTACACACAAATAATCAGAATATTTCCTTTCTACAATAGATTTCCAAGTAATTATATTGCAGAGATAAGTTTGCATTCAGTATTGTAACATAGTCTTTGTTATGGAAGCTTGATAGCTGACACTGAGTGTTTCATGGATTCCTTCCCCCATCAGCTACAAGTTGCAAATAAAAGATTGCATGGATTCGTGAGATACTTTGCTTAGAAAAATCTGAATCTTTGCTGACCTGTTCTTGTTGAAGGTGATGTCAAAACTGTCGGTCAGCTCCACTGGAAACAGAATTGGGCCCTGTGTTCCATTTTCTTATACCATTTCTGACATTTCTCTTTCAGACAGAAACAAATCTAGTTTGAAATCCACTTCTTAGACAGTCAGTGTAGGTACGTGGAAGTGTTGTGAGTGTAGAGAGCTAAAAAATATAAACATGATATTACTAAAGAAACCCATTTCCAACTCCTAGGAAAAAACAGTAGTGATGAAAGTGTTAATAAATGGTTTAAAATGTTTAACTCATAAGTATATGTTTTGATATTAATTTAGAACAATATAAAGCAGATTTAAAAAAAAATCTGTTTCTATCAGATTATGCACATTTAAACAATAAGTGGCTCAGGCAAAATAAGTCATTTTAATGTCATCTGTGATAGATTTTCCTTGACAGCTACTGTAAATTACAATTACACTGCTTCTCTCTGCACTTGAAAGTAAGCATTGCAATAAATTATCTTTTATTTCAATCCATCATGTCTGCTTTCAGAAACAGAGAACCTCAAATAAAAGTTCAGCACTATTGTAAGAAAAATACAGTAATTTGTGTTCCAGTTTGAAACTAAAATGTACCTTTCTTTCAAAAAACAATTGTTGGCTTTCAAAAATATTACTAATTATACCTCAACATTTATTGTCATTATAGGGAATCCCTGAACTTGTGCATTCCCTCAGTCTTATATTACTGTTTAAGAGAAAAATACTTTAGTATTTTCCCAATAGAATTTTGTAATTTCTCAAATTAGATAATATGGTACTATTCAAAATAGGTATTTTTATCATGAGGAAATCTCATTTAGGCTGATGCTGTTTTCAAGAATTAAAAAAAGAAAGGAAAAAAAAAGGCAAATATGCCATTCAGTGGTCATTTTGCTAACAATATATCTAAGAAAAACATGATTACTTCTAATAAAAAAAAAATAAAATACCTAGATAAGAAAACAGTTATCATAGGTCTTATCTCATTCAGTGTTTCCCAAGTGCGTTCCCAAGTGCCCAAAAGTGTAAGACAGATTTGTTTAGCAACTTCAGCCATTCATGTCATGCTGCTCTCTCTGCAAGACTGTTTTATCCCTGGAGAGAAGCTGGCACTGTAGGACGAGCATCCCTAGCTGGGAATCAGTTCACCAGGATGTTAACCCAGGTAGCAGAGCAGTCTGTGCCATCTTGTCTGATCAGCAAAATTCTTCCCTTATGCCATCAAAGAGCCCAAAGTGGTTTCTGTCAATGCTAAAAAAAGGATTTGTTTCACTTTTTTTCTTGTGAGGGCTTAGAATACTGTACCAGACTTGCCTTGAGGAAAATTACAGAATTTGGTAAAAAGAAAAGAAAATGCAGGTTTGGGGTTTGGGGTGGTTTCTCCCCTCACGCACACACACACACCCCCCAAAATAAAAAAAAAAAAAAAAAAAGGAGAGAATTTCAGTCCTATGACTGAATGTATGTTTTTTTCTCTGGAGCAGGATGCCTGATACCCTGTAGATGCTCCTAGAAGCTATCTGCACAAGGCCAGCCCCCTAAGGAAATTCTTTCAACCTGGTTTTCAGCTTCCTAGCGGGAGGGATTTATCACCCCCCAGCTCCTTTCAGAGGAGGCTGCAGAGTATCAGGGAGAGCTTTGTAGGAGTCAGTCCTGCCTGTTGCGGCTTTGTGGCAATTTCCCTGTTGGGCTGCTGGCAGGACAGCGGCGCATGTCTCCACACTCATCCCTCCTTTTGGAGAATTAGCTGTTGTCTGGCAACATGGGAAGAGGATGCTCAGGAGGGAACTGACACCCAGCTCTCCTGTCCCTGCCCATTCTCAGAAGCATGATACCACCATACGAATGGCTCTGCCTATGGGTTTAGGTGGACAGCCTGGCCCTCAGTGATGTTCCCTTACCAGCTTGACTGCTGCCAGTCCATCCCAATGCCAGAGACTTTGCCTGGCTTTGCCATCAGCAGA